AGAAGCATAAGTTCCTCGCCTCTTCTGCATCCCCTCTTCCAAACCGCCTGTGTGCGTAGTGATTTGTGGACATTTCAGGCAGGAGACATTGAAGTCTTGTTGAGCAGCAAACTTTACTGCCTCAGGGAATTGTTAAACAGCACAGATGCACGGTCAGTGGTTTCCATTCTAGACAGCACTTCCTCTGGCTCAGCCCTGGGAGCTGAGCCTCTGTCTCCAGCGGGGATACCAGTTGTCATCTCAGGGCTGGACCTCAAAGGAGGAGCCATCTCCAGACCAGGCACTGATATCCTCCTCCTTGAGCCTCAGGTTCCCTTAGTCTGAAGGGCATGTGACCCAGCCAAGGAACCCCAGGCCTTCTTCCTAAGGACCAGCCTTAGGGCCTGCCATTATGCCTTGGAGTGTCCCCAAGATTCAGGAGGGAAACAGCTGGATTGGGGGTTGAGCAGGAGCTAGGTCATAGTTACAGGGAGGGACACTGGGCTCCACGAAACACCAATGAGTCGGTCTCCTGCAAGAACCTTTAGCAGGCCCCTCCCTGCCCTGGCTTCAGTGCAGACGTAAGAGGGTACATTATTAGCAAGGTCACATGGCGGCCCAAGTCCTTTATCCCACCTCCCAAACCTTCTACCCCACAGCCTCCGCTCCTGAGCTGGAGTTTAAACTGCTAGGGGCATGGCAGGCTTGATTCCCAGTCAAAACTGACTTTTTAAACATACTTCATCATGATTTATTTTAAGAGTTACTGAGCAACCCCATCGTCCCATAAGGAATTGCTGAAAGATCCCAATCTGATAGCCAGGAAATGCCCTCAGCACTGGCAAGCACGGATATTAATTAAGTAATGAATAGAACAGTATTGATGAAGAGATATAGCATTTATAGCAGTGCTGTCAGACACAACAGTGCAAGCTACATAAAAATGAAATAAAAAAATGATAAAATGAATTTTCTTTTTTTTATTTTAAAGAGTAAAAGAAGGATAACATAATAATAGGGGGGGCTTACCAAATTACAGACAAAGTGGTAGGAAATTATCAATGGTTATTGTTTTACATATTGTTATCTACAAGATAGTTTCTCAGGAAAACAAATAGACAAATAATAGTTACAGACAAAAGAGGAGATTATCAATAGTTGTACTATACTTTGGTATCTTCAAAGTGGCTTCTAAAGAAAATATATAGAGTTATACATGAGTGACCTATTGAATAATCATTAACTATTCTCAATGGTTGTTGTAGGAAACACATAATAACCAACATCCATTTACGAAATAGGATAGGAACAATACAAACATTGCAGAGTTATGTATAGATTAGTAGGAAACTATCAGTGGCGCTGTAATACATGGTGGTATCTTAGAAGTGGTTTCTCAGGAAGACAGATATGCAAGAAGGATCTAACAAGTAGTTACAGCCTAAGGGTTTTCAAAAATCAAGTGATCCTTCTGGGGCCAAAGCCATTTTTTGCAGTGTTTTCTCTCCAGCCTCCCATCGCCTTGGGACCCCACAACCAGTTAGCGTCCTCTCCCCAACTGTCAGCACAGGCAGCAGGAATCGTGCTGCAGACCTCTCCAGAGCTCCACCACAGCCTCTACTGTCAGGGGAAGAATGGCTTCCAGGGAGTCTCCGCAGGTATTGTGCAAGGTCCTCCTGGTTTACAGCTTCTGAGCGGCTCTCATGACCCCAGTCCATAGAACCTCTGACTCCTCCGGCTTAGTCTGCATTCCCATGTTCTCCAAGTCCTTGTTCAACAGCTGCTCCTCCACTGACTTTGGACCTTTCTGGTTCTCAATGGCAGGAGCAAGAGTGGCCCGTTGTATGGCTTGTATTCCCAGGGGATTCTCCATGTTTAAATGATTAACACATGTCCGTGGGGGACATCTGTAGCCGGTGCATGGTGGGCCAATTTTGTCATTGTTTCTTCGTGTCATGGTAGTTCTCAATTGAGCGGCAGCAGCCGGCCTGCAACAGCACTCGCTGCGTGGCTCCCCCTGCACCGGGGGCCCTCCCTCTGGGGGCCTACAAGGCAGGGAGCGAGCCAGTCCGAAGACCATGGCTCCCCGAGCGCCTGGGCCCCTCTGAATTTTATTTTAATGGAATACATTATTTAACTCATTATATCCAAAATACCATTTTAATAAGTAATCAATACAAAAAATATTACTAAAGAAATATTTTATATTCCTTATTCATACTAAGTCCTAAAAATTAGTGTGTATTTCACACGCAGGGAACATCTGAGTTTGGACTAGTAGTGTGTTGGCTTTTTTTCAAACATCTCTAAAATGCATGTCATGATATTACCAAGTGTATATCATTTCTCCACCCAGATGGCTATCCAGCAGTGCCAGGCAGTTCTGACACTAACTCTAGAGAGTTACACACACACACACACACACACACACACACACACACACACACACACAGTATAGGGCTCAGTCCCACAAGACCATCTCTGTTTCACATACCAGTTACGAGGGCTCCCAGTGCTTCTCACCAGCCAGTGATAAATTTGAAGATTCCCTAGTCCCATTTCTTAGGCTCAGTAATTTGCTAAAGCAAGTCATGGAACTCGGGGAAACACTTTCGCTTGCCAGTTTATTATACAGGCTTTTGCTTCAGTAACGGCCGTATGAAGTAGAGCAAGATGGGGGCCATGGCACTCCACCTTCCCAGTACTTTGAGCCAGAAGCTCTCCAAATCTCGTGTTTTGAGTTTTTAATAGCCCAACCTCCATTCATCTGTAGGTCCCCGAAGACAGGAGGGGCCGAAAGTTTGCACCCTGTGCTCCTTGTTCGGTCTGTGGCGGCCAGCCCACCACCTGAAGCTATCTGGAACCTTACCCTGAATCACCACTTAGCATGGACTCAGGTGTGGTTGAAACAAGCAGATTATGAATAACAAGATGCTCCTGTGACTCAGGAAATTCCAAGAGTCTTAGCACCTATATGCCAGGAACTCAGAACAAACCAAATGCATTTTTCACTGTACCACGTATTTCCACGGCGCCATGGTGCCACTGCTGACTTACTAGACAGCACAGATTTAGCAAAGGAGACCACTCACAGCACCGCCTGCAGTGGAAGGGCTAGGAGGCAAGGGACCTGGGTTCCAGCCAGCGCCGTTAAAATTCTCGTGTGACCTTAAAGCAGTCCCCTAACTTTCCTAGGCTTTAACTTATGAAGCGAAGGCCCTAGGAACCGAGGATGCGGCTCGGTGGTAGAGCAAATAAGCCCCACTGTCAATCCCCAGCACCAAAAAAAAAAAAGACCCGGATGACGTCACTTTACCTTGGCAAGGATTCAGGTTCCAAACTGAGATTTAAAGGATTTTCTGAATAAAAACCCAAATCATCTTACTCAGTACTTCTCAAATGGTAATCTACATGTGAGTCAGCCTGGTAAAATGAAGGTTCTAGGAGCTGGGGACAGCTCAGCAGCAGAGAGGCGCTTCACACAGACAAGGCCTGTGTTCCATCCATGTCACCAAAGTATAAAGAAGAGGATTCTTGATTGAGCAGGTATGGGATGGGGCTTGACCTTCTGCGTTTCTAACAAGCCAGCTGACAATTTGCTGCTGGTCCTAGAAGCGCACTGGAGTAACAGATGTGTTAGTCTCCGTCCTCCAGGAAGCAGGTGCCAGTGAGAAGGCAACCGGGAGGCTGGAAGAGCCAAGAGACCGCAGTGCGGATGTGGCCCTGGCCCATCCTCTGGGATACAGACATATGCCAGACATGGGCTGCCTTTTCCTAAGGACAGAGCCTGTGAGCACCGTGTCCCCGGGACCTGCAGAATGCTTGATCCTCAGCGTGGAGTCCACACAGCAGAGCAGTGCCTGAGGAGTACTGTAATAGCAGGGGTCCCATTGAGCCATGATTTATGACGGCCACTGGGGCCCATTAGATTCTTACATCCAAAGGCAGAGAGAGCTATCACACGGCCACGGGCTGGCCTTGATGAGCAGCGCCCGTGCAGTTGCCGCGCCCCACCGAAGTTGGTCTCCTCAAGGAGGGACGCCTATCCGGGCCCAGCGTTGGCCTCTCCTGCAGACCCACTGGACGCTCAGAGGCAGAAGATCACAGGTTTGGTTGGGATGTGGGAGTCTCCTCGTGCCCTGGTTGGCCACACATGGTTTTCTGCCACTCCGTGCACACGTGATCCATCACGCTGGCTCCAGTGTGGCCAGTGCCGAGGACCCGCTAATGTCACCCGTGCCAATCACTTGGCGCTCTTGCCTACTCGGCCTCGCCTGTGTTGGGTCCTTCCTGGTGGGTGTTACGGCGAGGTACAAAGACCGTCACACGCGGTCCCCTCCACAGGCCCACGTCCCCCGCACACGGCCTCACTGCTGCTCGCTTCCGGCCCTCCAGACTGCTGGCCAACCCCGGGCCGTTGGCCACTGCCTTGGATATTCAACTTACTAAAAAAAAGGTTGATTTGGCTCACAGTCTCAGAGGTTTCCCCCCACCCGCTTCCCCAATCCACTGGCCTCCTTGCTGTGGGGGAGCTAGCACCCCGCCAGGAGTGAAGGAGCGAGAAGGGAGGAGCCAGGGTCCCCACTGTCCCTCCAGGACACACCACACCCTCGGTGCCCTGAAGACCTCCCACCGGGCCTGGCCTCTCAGAGAGTCCACCACCTCCCAGTGGTGCCACCCTGGGGGCCAAGCCTTTAACACTGGAGGAACACTGAAGGGCTAAGCCATAGCAGCTCCTCTGCGCTGTGATCAGGCTTTTCTCGTTTTTATTTTTCTTTTTTCAGACAGAGTCTCCCTCTGCAGTTCAGGCTGGCCTTGAACTCACAGCGAGCCTCCTGCCTCAGCCTTCTGAGTGCTGGGATTACAGGTGTGCGCCATCATGCCTAGCTGTGACCATGCTTTGAGCTCCCCGTGTCCATTGATGTCCCTCAAACCATGCCTGCGAGTCCTTGGCGTGTTACAGTCTCCGTCTCTCTAGTGAACAGTCACACTAAGCCATGGCCAGAGGGCCCTTCGGGAAGATGGAAGCTGGAAGCAGGCGTCAGGATGAACACACGATTCCCTGCAATTGCGCAGGGTCCTGCCGCCTCAAGGCCAGGCCATTCTTGAGTCAGTGGTTCCATCCAGGAAAATGAGCTCAGGTCTGGCAATGAGCAAGGCAGTGTGACTTTTCATCAGATCTGCCTCCCGCCCCTCCTGTCCTGCTTTGGTGCTGGTTGTAAATACCGAGCGGAGCTTCCCTGATGGAGCGGGCCGAGTGCGCCCCCAGGAACGCTGGACCCAAGCCCCAGGCTTTGAGTGGGCCCACCCCCGCCCGCCCCCCGTCCTCAAGTCGCAGCGGGCCTTGCAGCTCGCTTTCCACGGGGCAGTGTTCGTCCTGCCTGCCTCCCTTCCTTTTTTCTTTCTTTCCCTCTTTCATCTGTCATCTTTTCTTCAAAGCTGGGGAAGGAATCCAGGGCCTCGCGCAAGGCAGGCTCTCCCAAAGCTGAGCTGCACTCTTGCTCTTTTTCTTTCTTCCCTTCCACTTGCCAGGGAACCCGGGTGTTTTCTCTGCACGGAGTGGCGGCCACCACACTTCTAAGAGCCCCCTGCGCAGACACTGCCTCCTCCCCTGGCCAGGGTGCTAAATCCCGGGCCCAGAAAGTGCCCTTGCAGTGTGTGGGCTGTCGCTCACCTTGGCTCCTCAGCTGCCTCTCGCAGACCCCGGGAGGTCTGGCTCCCCGCTGGCCACAGGACCCGTCCTGCGCTCACTCGCTCCCCCAGCACCGCCTCCCCTCCCTATCGGGCCCAGCCCAGCCTGATCTGGAATTCGCCCCAGTTGCTGTCTCTGGCAGCCAAAAGAGGAAGCAGGACAGCACACTGGCAGGCACCTGTGGCCTTCAGAGTGAGGCCTCGGCAGGCCGCTCAGCACAGGGGTGAGTATCACCACCAGGAAGGTGGCCGCCCCTCGGCTCAGAGGTCAGGGAGGCCCAGGGACGGAGTCCTCGGGGGCATCCACCCATTTCGGAGTTCCAGATCTCTTCCCTGAGGGCCTTCACGCTGGGCCTTACAGCCTCAGCCCTTTTTTATTTTGAAATAGTTCTAAGTCACTAACTGCCCCAGGCAGCGTTCAAACTTGCAACCCTTCTGCCTCAGCCTTCCAGAGTGCTGGCTTTGCAGACCTGCGCCGCCAAGCCTGGCTGAGCTCTGCTTCTCCTTAAGCGAGGCGACGCCTTAGGGAGTCGCTGGCTGAGCGCAGCCTGTGGCCGCAGTGTAAGCAGGGTGGGCGGAGAGCAGCTGGGCCAGGGGCAGCAGTGGTCTCCACAGCCTGGCATCTGAGAGGCGCACTTCTAGGGCCCCCGCCGAGGTTCTAGCTGGGGACTGAGCTCCCAGAGCGCTAGACTGAAAGAAACACGAGCGCTGCATTTTCTCCCTGAGGTCAAACTTCCTGCTGCCCTGAGACTTCTGGCCTTGGGTCATTCATAACTTCTCTGAGCCTCACTTCCTTCACCTTTAAATGGGGGTAAAAACGGACATGATCCCGACTTAACAGGGGTTCAGTGTAATGATTTCTGATTTTATCGTGGTGTGAAGATGACACAAATTCCAAAGAAGTTGTACCTCAGAGTGTGTCTGTCTCCCCGGGCTGCGTGTGTGGGTGTGCCAGCACTCCGTCCTGGAGCTCAGCGTGGGGTAGGACCCACTATGAGTTAGCTGCTCCTCAAAACTGCAGTGCGCCCCACCCACCCCACACTCACCGACGCCCCACACTGACGCCGTCCTGAGTACGCGGGACCCAGATACAGGCAGCCACCGCCCTCCGCTGCACCCTCAGGCGCGATCGCGCGCAGACAGCTGTGCCGGGGAGGGCAGGCAGGGCCAGCCGGAAGGCGGCCAGCCCACCGCAGCCCTGGGGCAGAGATGTCCCGCTCGGGGGCATTTACACCAGGTCTCCTAGGACCCCAGGAGGGCCCAGCGACAGTGAAACGGAAGGGGCCAGAGCCTTGCTAAGGGCATTTGAGAAAGATCTGCCTGGTCAGGCGTGCGGGGGAGGCCGGGAGAAGCGGGGCAGTGGGGCTGGGTAGGGCGGTCACACGGCCCGAAGCCCTGGGCGAGATTGAGGGCCTGGTGAGAGACTGAGAGCGTGGAGGAAGAGGGCAGGGGCACCTGAGAGTGGCCCCGGCCTCAGACGCAGGCAAGGAGCAACCAGGTTCTGGCCTGGCTTCCTGAGCAGCCACGTGGGTCCTGCGGTCAAGGGAGCTCGAGGAGATTTTCTGAGGTCAAATGACCTTGTCGCAGGGCACACAGCAGTGTGGGTGGAGTCGGGACTTGAACTCAGGCCCGTCTGACTGCATCCTGTGCTCCCCTCGCCCCAGCAGGCCAGTCGTGGTGCGGAGACCAGAGTTCAGGGGACCTGTGACCCTGTCTCACACCCAGCCTGACCAGGCCGCTTGGAAGGCCATTCGAGGCCGGGAGCGCAGCTCCTCAGCCTCCCGCTCGGGGCCTGAGCCAGGACACAGAGTTCCTCCTGCCGGGGACGCAGCTCTCACAGAAGGACAGAGCCCGGAACCCAGCTGGCCGGCCGCGCACCCTCCCACACTGGGGCCGCCACCCACAGCCAGGGCACCTGAGCGATGGCGGCCCCCTCCGGAGCCAAGGGAGGAGGAGCCTTCCCCTGCTGTCACACAGCTCAGCTGTGCTGGGCCTTCCGGAACATTCAGGCGTAGGGGAGAACAAACTGCGGCTGGCGCGGGGCCTAGGACAGGTGCCGCGTGGCCCAGCTGAGGGCCAGCGGCTGAGCCTCCTCTGTCAACCGCGGGGCTGCCTTGTTCCCCCACCGAGCTCCCTCCGCTGCTCCGAGCCTCCTCCGCAGTCCTCGGCCCCCTCCCGCCTGCGCACCGAACAACAGATGCCTGGTCCCTGCAGACAGCCCCTGCCCGCAGCTCCACCTCCTCATTCCCCGCGTCCCCCGAGGCTCGGCTGGCTCGGGGCGGCCCCAGCCAGAGGAATGCGAGCCATTCCCGGCATCTCCTCCCCTGCGGCCAGCAGAGCGGGCTGGGGCCTCCGGGCCTTTCTAACAGGAAATTAGCAGGGCCTGGCCTTCCCCACTACCAGCTGCTCTGCTGACCCTGACCCTTTGTTTTCTGAAACTCGATACTGCACATTTCAGAGCCTCTTCCCCGGCCCCGGGAGGCCTGGCCCAGCGCCTTCCCCTCGGCACCCCCCACCCGCGGGTGGAGGGACACTAAAGGCCAGTGCCATGGTCCAAGAAGGGGCGGGGGCGGGGGCGGTTTGGATCTGTGTGACAGGAAAGGCTTCGAGAACCAGAGGCAGAGCTGCACAGGGATTATGATGGAGGGATGGGATGCAGCTCAGTGGCACAAGCGCTGCCTGGCAAACAAGATCCTGAGTTCGATTCCCAGTACCAGAAAAAAAAAAAAGATGGAGAGACACCGGCAAGGGTTCGGCCATGAGGCCGAAGGACAGAGGTGTCAAAGGGCTCCACGGTTTCTGAGGCACGAGGCTGGTGGGTGCTGGTGCCTCACAGTGAGGGTTGCCCAAGGACCGAGGCAGAGCACGGAGACCAGAAGTGTGCAGAGGACACACAGGCTGGTGAGCCAGAGAGGGAGGAGCCAGATACACACACACACACACACACACACACACACACCCGCTGCTAAGCAGAAGAGCGAGAGGTCACTAATGCTGAGGACAGGGACAGAACGCCCAGCGGGCGTCCTCTATCCCCTCCCCAGCGGAGGGGCTGGCCCTGCCACGCTGGTGTGTGACGGCCACGGAAGGGAGGGTCACCTGGCACGGGGGCGGGAGGGGGCGGACAGAAGGCCGCAGTGCCAGGGAGGGGTGAGGCGAGTGCTTACAAAGGGAAACAGTGCTCGGTGCTGCAAGGGACCAGGAAGAGGAGGCGGGCCGCGCCTGTGACTGAGCTTGCTCACTGAGCAGACGAGAGGGAAGCCAGGTCGCAGCCGCCGGGCGTGCGAGGCGGGAAAGAGCCCCCAGGCTGCTCCGCGGGAGGAATCTCAGTGCGGGGCTGGTGACCAGGACCCTGCCGGGGTGAGAGCTCTGCAATACCTGGGACAGGGATGGCAACAGGAACACGTTTCTGAGAAAGCACAAGGACCTGCCTGCGCCCCTTGGCAGGGCAGGGGCTGAGCTGGGGGAACACGCAACCCACTGGCACCCCAGGAACCTCAGAGGCCCTGGGACACCTCCGTCCCTCAGCCTCCACAGCCAGACCCCACCAGGTTCTCTCCTTAATCCCGACTTCTGTGACCTCAGCAGCCCTGAGCATTCACTTAGATGCATGCGTGCATTCGTCTGAAACGCCGCCGCCGGCTAACCAGGTGCTTCTTGGGCCAGTTCAGCCCCAGCTGAGTCGATTCAGGCGCTGTGACAGAAAACCTCCACTTCCAAGCAACACAAATCCGTTCCTCACAACTGTCTCTGGAGGCCACAAGGCTGTGGTCAAGAGGCCAGCAGGCTCGGTGCTGGGAGCCGCTCTCCGGTCCGCCCCATGAACACTCGGCCTCCTGCACGCAGATCACCCGCACATCCCGGCACCTCCTCACCGTCCACAGGAGAAGGGAACACAGGCTGAATATCCCTTACCCGAAGAGCTTGGGAACAAAAATATTTTAAGTTCCAAATTTTTTCAGATTTTGGAATATTTGCATACATCTAGTGATACATCCTGAGATGGGACTCTTGCCTAAACATAAAATTTGTTTCTTACACACCTGATATACACATCCTAAGCAGTTTTAAACAATGCTTTTAGTGCGCCTGTGTTTTCACTGCAATTCTTTCCGAGGTGAGGTGTGGAATTTTCCTCTAGTGGTACCTCTAGTTAGTACTCTAAAAATTTGGATTTTGCAGCATTTTGGATTTCAGATTTTTAGATTAGGGATGTTTTAACCTGTATTTAAGCTCTAATACCACATTTTCCCTTTCTGAGATAAATGGGCACAAACATTTCTTTCTGCATAAAGCTTCAGGATCACCTCATGTGCATTAAGTAAAAAGGGGTTCAACTTCCCTGGATAGCCCTGATTAGAATGGGCTGGTCCTCAACGTAACTCTGTGTGCCTGCGCACGTGTGTGTGTGTGTGTGTGTGTGTGTGTGATCTAATACACATTTTTGCTTCTTCAATAGCTTGTATGTATGTTACAGATCTAGATCTAGAACATCTAGATCTACCATGCACATGCATTCCTTTTTAACTTCAACAGCTTGACGTGAAACTGCCCCAAAGAGGCTGTCCGTATCAGTTGGGACAGACTGAGCCAATCAAGCACATTCTTCTCCTCCTAAGACAGGAGAGAAGCGCCTGATGTGCCCAAGAAGTACTTTCTGGTTTTCTTCTGCGATTGCTCCAAATGCCTTGCGGCTGGCCTGGCCATAGCAGGCGTCCACGGCCACTCCAGGAAATACGTGCTTTGGCTGCAGAGGGCTTTGAATGCAGACCTATCCCAGAAGACGCCACCCCCGCGGCCCTCTGCAGCTCTGCTCATTCAGGTCCTCCGGGGCCCCGCCTTACCTATAACCAAACATGCACAAGCTGACATTTTCCTTTTATAAGCAACATCTCTTAGCAGGTTCAGCCTGTTAAGTCCTGATAAAGCCCCGATAAAGCCTCTCCTGGTTGGCATGTTTTTACCATTCATGATTTTTCTCTCGAGAGGAGCATGCTGAGCTGGCCCTCTAGGAGCTCGTTACAGCAAAGGCCACTGGTGCCAAAAGTGCCCGGCAGCCAGGGCTGTACCGCTGAACAGGCCTGCGCGGACAGTGGTGCAGAATCGCTGGCGCCTGCCGTCTATGGTGGCCGGGAGAGTTTCTGACACCTGCCAGGGGCTGCTTTCTCCAAGCATCAGGGACGAGGACACTGACATTACAAGAGCTGCCGGCTGCTGGCATTCCAGCCCGGGCTGTTAACACTTCAGCAAGCTGTGACTTGTGTATGAGCCGGGCACGAACCCTCAGCTGATCAGTAACATCTTGGAAGTACAGATGGGGGCCTCCCCTTAGGGGTCTTGAAGGGGTGGACAATGGTGACCGCCAACCCATGTCTGACTTCTATGGTGCATTTAGCTGTGTCCACACGAGCTGCTGACACCTGGAGGGCATGACTATCGGGTGCTGTTGGGAGGCTGGGCCCCCTCCAGCCCTAGGGCCACCCCCAGCCCTAGCGCCACCCTGAAGCTCTCATCCGGTTTCCTGCCTTGAGAGCAGGACTCAGGGCGACCACGGAGCTCAGGAGCCGCGCGACGTGGCAGGCAGTCCCTCCCCGGGCCTCGGCAGCCAGAGGGAGGCACAGCTGTGCGATGTCACGTGTCCCTGTCCACTGCTCGGAGCCAGCCCGCCTCACCTGAGGGACATGGTGAGCGTGGGAAGCAAGAAGCTGCCGTCCTTGTCCACTGTTCTCTCGCTCCCCATCCTACTGACCTTGCCCGTGTTCCTTCAGTCCTCGCGCTTCAAACACTTGTGTCACTCCGTTGGCTTGGGGTGTGCGTGCGTGCGTGTGCGTGTGTGTGTGTGCGTGTGTGTGTTTTGCGTCTCTGATCGCACTTGCTTGTTCATGTGATGCAGCCACACCGGCCTCACTGATGTCCCCCAGACCTGCCAAGAGAGCTGGGCATGGGGGTGCAGCCTTGATCCCAGCACTCTGAGAGGCTGAAGCAGGAGGCAAATTCAAGCTCGGCCTGGGCAACTTAGGGACTTAGCAAGATCCTGCCTCAAAATAAAGACTCTGAGCACGGCGCTCGGTGCAAGGGCTCTGGGTTCAGTCCCCGGGACTGCAAAAACAAACAAACCATTGCCAAGAAAGTTCCCATTGCACCTGCCGCCCCCTTCCAGAACATTCTTCCACCAGATGTCGCCATGTCGGCCTCACTTTCCTGAGATCTCCGCTCACAGAGCTTGATGGAGGTGCAAACAGGCAAGACAAGCCCTCGGTGCCCAGTCGCGGAAGGAATGAGGGCTGAGAGGGCAGCTGCCAGGCCATGGGGACAACAGGGCTGAGGGGAGCAGGCTCTCAGGAGACCCCAGGGTCCTCGGAGACGGAGCTGGAGCTGCCACTCCTGCTCTCCGGTCCGATTTAAACGGCGTGTCCTGTGCGTGCTGCCCGCGAGGCGGCCCCGCGCCCTACAGTCGTCCTCTCCAAAGCAGGCGCTGCTTCTGTTCCTTGCAGCAGACAGCCGTGCCCAGAACAGCGGCCTCCCACCGCCTCCCACCGCCTCCGCCCTCCTCCACACCCCGGAGCGCCTGCTCCTGCCTGCCTCCCAGGCCCTCACCCTAGGGCCCGTCACATCAGCGCGCACGGCCGACGGCCCGCCCACGAGCCCGTCTCACAGGACGCCCCGCGGCGTCAGCACAGGCTCGAGTGCCAGGCTGAGCAAGAGGCCTTCCTGTTGACCAGTGGGGATTTCTGGATTTGGAACAGAAAAGTTGCGGTCAGGTCTGTGTTTCAGAAAGACGACCCTGGCGGCTATGCCCAGGGCGGATAGAGGGGGCGAGCCTCAGCGCAGGAAGAGCAGCCGCAGCGATCCCGCGGCCGTCCAGAGGCACCGGGCAGACCCACAGGGGCCGGAACAAAGGGCAGCCCCGGGAGAGACGGGGGAGCCCCGGGAGCAAGCTCAGGCCAGCCCTGCCCGCGAGGGCCTGGGAGCGGGGCCTCGTGTTGCGACCCCAGGCCCGCTCAGGCACTGCCGGCCGCCTCTCTCGCGTGGTCCGGGGCAGGGCTTCTCAGCAGGCTCAGGCCGGAGCAGCCTTCCCTGGGCCACGTGCTTGAGCCCCTACGCAAGTGACATCTGCAGAGCACAGTCCCACCAACTCGGCTCCCGGCCCGGCTCCACTTAGGGAGAGCTGGCGCCCCTGGGCCTCCTCAGCTCCTCAGAGGCCGGCCCGGCGTGCAGAAGCTGCGCGAGGCCCCGGCTGCCCGCAGGCCACAGACGCTGTGCCTGGAGCAGGACGACTCCCTGCGGGCGCGGAGCCGGGACCCACTCCACCGACTTCATCAGGAACCGGGCGGCGCGGCTGTCACCCCAGCTCGGACTCGGGTGCTCTCGCCTGCGGTCCGTTCGCGCCGTGCACAGACCCCAGAGCGCTCGTGCGGCGCGGCAGGCACACCCGAGGCGAGGCCCTGCGCTGGGTGGCCGCGCTCGCCCTGGCGCCTCCTCCGC